TCCTCCCTTAACTCAATGCACCTTATTTCTAGCATAAGCAGGTCAATGTGACAGCTTTTATGAATTTCGTTTTCTGCCTATAAAAAATCGCTCAGCAAGGAGATCCTCAGGAAGAACAGAAAGTTATTACAAATGCCTTGAAGCAGATTTAGAAGAATGTCAGAATCGGTTGGTCCCTTACGACTTACATACGCAAACAAGAGTCCTGGCAAAGTATGTAAAACCAATCCCGGCCTTAGTGTAGTACGGTGTCATTAAACTTCAAAGGATTCTAGCACAACTGTGATAAAACTTCTGGAGGGATGATATATCACGGAAATCCGAATCAATCTATGTATTCTGTTTGATCGAAACTGTCTGTCGAGGTGCTCCAGCTGAGTGGAAAACAAAACAAACTATGATACAAGCAGATACGCTCAACTCTGAGACAAATCTGACACAGTATAACTCTAGAATCAGGAAGGAAAACTTTATTGGTAGTCTGTAAACCGTCACATTTCGGCTGACAAAAGAAATAAATATATAGTTGAAAAGCTGAAAAGGCTAAACGTTGATTATAGCTTGACTTGTTATCCCATTTACCACTTTTAACTAAAATTTAGTCTTGTAAGCGAATCCATTATGGGCTGAAAAGCCCAGTTTCCTCACCATTACTGGAAATAATCAACAGTGCACACCTCACGAAACTCCAGGGAGTTTCGAACTCGCGACCTCCCGGCTAGTGGGTTGAACACTTGAACATCCGGCCAAGAGCAGCTGATCAGCGGCATGACAGCCTATAAGGGGCTCAGAGGAAAAATAATTTTGCGAGTACGATCTCCATTTGAGAATACATCATTCGAAAAACCAGTCAACACGTGACCACGTGATGTGGACTCCGTGATTGAAGGAGAAGTGCCGTTATAGCCCGACTAGGTGCGAGTCAATCACACTGTTGATCAGCCTCTCGTGACCGAACGCTTAACTGTTCAAATTACTAACAATGAGTTTGCCAGTTTGAGGCTCTCTAGAGTTGCTGAATCCCAATAAAGATAAAACATCTGTACACTGCTTGTTGAATTTCCAGCATAGATTAGTTTCACTGTAGGAATGAAATCTCAGCTGATGATTTCAAAACCTACTATTTGTTAAAAAAAATAGACCACTTTTGTTCTAAGTGGTCGGCAAAAACAATAACAAAAAACAAGGACAATACCACAACTTGTTGCACCCTAAAGTTAGCATACTTACCAACTAAACCCAACGGTTTGCACCATAGAACCGCTCACAATAGGACCTGAAGGGAAGGAAAGGTTAAGCACCGTGGACGCGTTCATCGAATTCCCCACATACAAAATAACACGTTATGCAATTGATGAGTCAACTGTTTAGGGTAAAGAGAGATCCAGTGCAGTTTTCCGCTAGAGCCAAATTGATTTGCAGATGAACGCACTTCAATCTCGCACAACTTATTGTTGGAATAGCTCGGGGACGGCACCTATCTGACGTTCCTCAAGAAGATCAAAGCATTTTCATAAATCCTGTGAGTAGTGTAATACACCAACAACAAAATGCTAAGATACATTGTCCTATATCCCACAAATTTAAGACTAAGAGAGGGGTATTTAACATATTTGAATAAATATGGTGTAAATGGACAGGGAATCGGTTAAGACTATCAGAATCGACACAGAACGCTACTTTTTGTCAAGGTCTGATTCCTGAATGTTATCCCAGAATACCTGGAACCCACTGAGACCCTCAGACTACACTAAAACGCCGAGTGAACAGCCTTGGATCGAGGTCAGACAGTGCACCCTGAGTATATAGCGCGAGACTGTTGTACATTTCACACTCACTTGCTTGTTCGCAATAAGGCTCTTATGCTGTTTGTCAGAGAGCCATTTTTTCCGGCACTAGGCACTGGAGCGGGGACAGCAGTCAGACATAACAGTTTTAAATTATTCTTGCACGACAGAAAACTACTTGGAGGAAGAATCTTGTTAATGACCCTGGTATGAATTTAACACGATTATTGTAACCGTAGCATGTGAAAGCATATTGATTCAAATTGTACCACAATACCCTAAAAAGCTCGTTCCGAAAACAAGTTGGACAGTATGAAAGGAATAAACCTACCAATTGCAAATCCTAAGCAAAAAGCCACATCTGCAATGGCGTAGACACTTCCGTACACCGAGGCATGTCTCAGATCGACCAAATATCCCATTATAGGCATCATAGAAGAGTCGACCATACCTTGGATGAAATGAGAAGATTGATGGGCACATTCGGAAGTTTATTCCGATGAAAGAATTGCAGACATGTGATAGAACATTTCGCTTCAAAGACGAATATGACCTGTTGAATGAATAAAAATCTAAGAAATTCACCATCAGTTGGAAAATGTTTGGGACCGATTGGGTAGTCATCGTTTCAGAGGGGTTTTATTTATTGCCCATCAATAAATCCACCGATTGTTTACCAAACCCCTCTGAAAAGAATTCACCATCACCGTTTTTGCAGTGTGGTCCGATTTAAATACGGAGACTGGGTGGAGTGGTTATCGAACAAACTGACTACACAATCACGGTAACCCTGTGGACAGGCCTTTTCCTGGAAGGGGACGAATATCTCTTCCTCCATAGTGTTCTTTGTTGGATACTACTGTATCTGAAATATAATCATCTAAATTTACTTGACCAAGTAAACTGGCCAAGTCACTTCTTTTAGTTGTTTGTTTAAAGCTTACTAAACGCGGTTTCAAATTCCCTCTGGTAGAACCGCGATCTTGACCAGCTGTAGCTTTGCCGCGTACCAGTTTTATTTCCAAAAGTGGACAGCACAAGCTGTGATTAATACTCTTTAAAGATCGCAGGTAAAGTGATCACCAACAATAAAACCATAGAAGATCAACACTACCTGGTAGCACCTCAAGTTCGTCGGGCCATTAAAAATATAACTCGCGAAAAACAGTAGTTTAACTATGGTTGACTGGTCGATTTGGAGATTACCGCGCTCATCTGTCAGTCAAGCTGAAGAACAATGGTTCAGCGCATCTGTTGCAATGCATCGAACTGGAGATTAAGCGGCGTTCTGTCTGTGTTTGTTTTTTATATTTTAATAGAAACAGACATGGAGGGTAGAGGTAAAAAACTGGTTTGGATTCACTCAGGAAAAATTTCGTAAACCCTGATCTTCGGTCGTTTCTCAATGAGCTGAAAACCCTAAAAAAGACCAGGGTTGTACAAAAATTGTAATCCTCCCTCGTCCTAAGCTCGAATAGCAGACAGGTCTTTTTCGCTTTTTCTGGAAACGCATGTGTTATTTACTAAGTTTTCACTAGGTACACATTGAGTAGGTGACGTTAGCGCATTTAAACAGTGACCTTTTGTGTTTGTAGAGTACACTGATAATTTTGGCCATTGGTCACGGAAAGCATGTGTCTGCGGTTGACACAACGCTTTGGTCGGGTTTTCGACCATTTAAGAGTTGATCCATTCATTCGTTGAACCACGATATTTCAACTAGCTAAAACGGCATGCAGGAAACAGCCCAGATGGGCTTGGTTGGGGACCTACTTTGGTCGAGAGGTGAACAAACTCCATCAAACGTATGAACAGAAAATCATGTACGTACCACACATTTCGATACTAAGAAAATGGTACACAAAGGTGACACTGTGATTGGGAAGATACCAAACATTTGCGAACAAAGACCATTTTCATTGTCCACGAGGAGCACAATCATGGCGAAGGTTGGAGAAACTCCGTTAAAAAGCCAGTACCTTACAAACACTAACCGGAATTGCACCGCAAACCTTACTTTGGGTCCAAAATTGTGCGCAATCTGAATGTGAATATTTTCACTAAGCTAGAGTCGAAGGACAATCATTGTATCAAGGCTGTCTAAAGTTGTGTCCACTGGTTAGCACGACGCGGCAACAGTAAGCGATATTCTGGTCCAAGGGTTTGTGTTATAGCCATTTTCAGGGGTGAAGCCATCTTATCGGCACATCTCTGGACCAACCGCTTATTTGAGGGGTTATCACATATCAGTTTGCTTATCCGGAATAATACAATAAAAACCACCACATGGACAAGCGGACCAAGGTCCCTTCGATATTTGAATGTCAAGCCTGACGGAACCAAGTCATAATTCTGATGTTCGCCAATGGATATGTTCTAACAAAAGAGCGTCAACAGCAGTCCAAAAATGTTGTAAAAAGTTTTGAACACGGCGAAATGATATTAGTGTAACGTTTCTGGGTTAGAATTCCAATCGATTCACTACCAAATTTCGCAATCTTTTCCCATTAGAAAACAAGAAAAATGAACTGGAGGCTACAGTCCTGACCTACCAATTGCAAATCCCAAGCCAAACATCGGTACGATCAAATGTTCCGGTATCCTTGCAAACGGCATCTAAAGAACGGAAAAAAGGATAAGTATGTGTTGACCGAGTTGGCGGTCAACCAGCACATGTCGTGTGGACAGAACGGATCAATGGCGAAAATAACATGAAATATATAAGAGGAGTCCTCATTCTTCACACAAGTCGCACGACCAAACGTGAGACTGACTAAACAGGGTAGCAGACAGAACGCAGAATGTTTCAATGTTGATACCAATTGATACGCGCTGGCTTGTCGGTGTGATATTGATGATTTTGGTCTTGGTGAGGGTTGTTGAAGGGAGCTAGCCACTTCTAAATGGTAAGTAAATCTTTTGATAGCCACTTTACAGTCGGAAACATGATGATAAGATATTTCCTGCGTAATTTAACATGTGTACATCACACATATTATGATGTATATTTTACTAGTAAACTTGGCCACAACCGCTTATGCCGTATCTCAAACGATGAACGTTCCTTGGCTAGAACGATTCCACTTGGTGTCGATAAAATAAGCAAAGGCTTGAAATGGTCTCCAAAGTAAGTTTTGTACTGTCCACAATCGATTTTGCGAACAGTCTTCTGGAGCCCACCGGATTGTTGGAAACGTACGTCTACAATACCCTGAATGATGTGTTACTAGAGACGCTTTGAAACCACCGAAATAATGAGCCCGCTGTGTGGAGGCTACATTTTTCCGAAAAGCGCCGAATATCCCACTGTCCCGGCGACCTATTCAATACGGTGTGATACGCAGAATAGAAGTATTGGCTTCCTTGATAGCCATACTTCAGTCAATGCGTTTTAATTCACACTGACCTACTTGAACCAGTATGCGAATTTAAGTAAGGTCCTTCCTGTTTGCGATGTGAAACGGAGCTGTTCGATTAAAGAAAATCATATACGAAATGACCATCCGACGTTTTCAATAAAATTGAATGAACAAGCCGTTTTTGGAAAGCAGCTAGAACAGTAATATCAAATAAATCAGTGTTTTGGTCAACCACCTATCCGATCCCAATGCCATGGCCTACCTCAGAAGGTATTACACAGTTGCTTTGTCCACAGTGTTATCCATGTGGCCAGCGCGCTGTGATGGAATTCGGCGGTAAACAAAGACCAGATTCATTACGACGAACTTATAGATTGTCTGTATGTGACTGAATACTGAACTTGTTTGGCACTCTAAAGAGTACAGTCCTCTAGACATCTAGCCACACGAATCAAAGTAGGCGAAATATCCAACGAAACGCTCAATAGTGTGAAAAATTTCGAAGGTGCTAAATGCTAAATGTCCAAATGCTGCAGCACAGGAACATCGGACAGACTTTCTAAGTGCATGCAAGCCACAGCATGAACTGATCAGCACGTACTGATGCGCCTAATGGTTTCTTGACCAACTTTCATTCCCGGAATGATAAGCACACGTTAACCATATAGTTGGTATTGGCGTCCGTGCTGTCCTACCAGAACAGCATGTCAACGTTCCTCTCCTCTTCCGTCCCTTTCTAGTACACCACAAATGCAAAACTAAAGGCCACATCCAACCAACTAAGATCTCTTCACATTAGTATTTGAAGAAACCGCGTTACTCAGACTATTCTTAGACTTTGTAGTCAGTTTTCGGGCCACTATTCCAGCTGCGAATAATCGTTGATTTACTCCATATGGTCTGAATCACTCCCAACAATTCCTTCAAAAACAAGGTGCAACTGATTTTTTCGTGGCTGAGGTCTCAAAACAGTCAAAAGGCGGAGGTGATTCAATGAGCCCTTGTAATCATCTTCTGAGAGGAATGTAATTTAAAACGTTCCATCAGAGCCCGCTTAGTTCTTGTGAAAGTTAAGAGTTCTTTGATGTTTCCTTATCAATCCCCTACGGCTTCCAGCTTTTTTATGCGCGTTTGTGTCATTATCAATGGTAGTCCTAAGGGTGAAACTTTACACGACAATTTACATGTCGACAAATTTCATTGTTCATACATTTTTGAGATACTTAGAGGCAAAAGACCAATACCAAACCGTCCGTCGGATGAGTCCTTAGAGCCAAAAGTGGCAGTTCTATTTATTACAGGTTCTACCAAACCGAACAGTATTTCGATTGACTGAAGATTAATAAGGTATCTAAAAATCCACGAAAAAACCGACTGACTTGATTAAGAATGCATACATAACCCGGAAATGCATATTGTTTTGCGGTAGATAGGCTTACTCTGCTCAAAATGAACAGTTTTCAACAATGATGGTAAGCGCTGCTAAATCCGCATCGCCTCAAATACTGACAAGTTCCCCCATGCTTCGAAGTGATGACCTGACATATGTGAAATCCCCCAGCGTCTGTTCCAACGGTTGTCCGAAGTCGGGATGCAACCGGATTTAGAGAATGCCAAGTTCAGTGGCTTATACCACTCTTCCCGTTCGACTAATTTCGTCCTGTCCACCATACGTATTTTCGATTATAATTAGTCTCAGAGAACCCTAAATTCCATATGGAATTTCGCAAATACATGGCAGAGTCTCCGCTTTCAAGGCGCCTATCTATGGAACACATATCCAAAAGGTTGCCAACACACTGCAATGACATACGCATGGAGATGAGTAAATGCTCACAGCCATCTGTCACTGACTTACCGCGCATAAGCAAATGCTACAAATCACCATTCCTAATCCGGCACTCACACCTCGACCAATCCGGGTGGCCAGAGGACCAAAGATATTTGTCCCTATCAAGTAGGAAATACTACAGGGCAAAAACGCCAGGCCTTGCTGCCAACCTTGTGCCCGCATTTTTTCCCACATCCACAGTGGCAGGGACGGCTCCAGCATCGCGATTCCCATATTTCCGAAAGTGAGGGAACCTAAGATAAGAAAAAGAAAGTCGACAGAGTAATACTGCAGGCTAAATGTAACGATCTGAGAAAAGCTCAAAACACAATAGGGATGTCATTGGTGCCTAAGCACTTTTGGATAACATTTTGAGGCTTCCATCAAGCCCAATTAAGGGAACTTCAGGAGACATCAAATAGGCCTAAACACACTTTGGAGTACGTACTGCATGTCGCTAGGTTTTTGGGTGACTAAAGTGTGAACACGAGTCCCTCCACCTGCGCTCGCTCATGATCTGTAGGTAAGTGGTCGACGAAATCCAAGATTGTAGGATTTTATTCAATACATCATCTCTGGCGATGTACCTTGGAGGCAGTCTGTTCGGAAAGCCGTCAACAATTTTGCTGTCACTGGCTTTCGGTGCAGATTTAACTGTCATGAAAATGTGGTTATATCCAGAAATGCTCCCATAGCTAGTGGGGCTTTACTATTGGTTCGTGATTTTTTTTACTTCAAACGGGTAGCTTTGTAAGGACGCTCAGTATTCGCACAATGGAATCGAATTATCAAAAGCTATGACGTGTCCCTGATGGATTAAAGCAATCGGGCAATTGAGTTGAGAGTACCAGTCCAAACGTTTGAGCACCATTTAGGCATCCCGGGGTCTCAGTGATGCTTGGAAACTATTCCATTGGACCTTTCCGCCAGAGGTAGCATTGCTTCAGTGGAAAATGAAATGTGGTGAGCTGTAAAAATATGAATGTAGACTGTGATGATTTTTGGTTTGAGCACATATGCAACAAATGCAACATTTTGGTGTAAAATGTTTTACTCCACACGTAAAGGTTTTGCATCTAAAAGCATTGTGCGGCTAATGGCCCACTTTGTAGGCGTGAACACAACTCACTCCGTAAAGTTGTGTGTATGTGCATCTTGTGGCGGAAAAGAATGGGACTACCCACAAGCTGCAGTGTTTTTTCCCATATTTTTCTTTACACTGAATCACTGGCGTTCGCAGTTCACTGAGTTTGCTGCGCCAGTTAAAAGGGGTTAAATCTAATGCACAAATGTGCAGAATTAGACACAATCGTTTGTGCGTAGCCGCGTGTAACGTTGCTTGATAACCACTGATGCCGATGCAGAATAGATAGGTGCCTGAACGGGCAGCGACCTGTTAAAAGGTGTCACTCATCATATTGATAGGAATGACCAGCAGCTACTTGTTTTTTTCCTCCACAGGAACCTCGGCGTCATCCGTCAGTTTCTTTTAGTTACCGTTTCATATCGCACTTTTACCGTTACATGAGCTGTGCGGTGTTCGCAGGAGTGCCGGTCAGCGCTACAGCAAGGTCAAAACGGTGTTTTCTCAGTGTCTGTGTGATGTAGCGCTTCCAAGCAGTTTTTACTGTAAAATTTACAATAAGTGCATGAGGAAATATGCGTCACTAGATAGGATGCCTTCCACTGGTTTTTATCCCTAGCATGGCCTCATCATTCAAGCAGTTTTTCACTGTAAAGTTTACAATAAGTGCATGAGGAAATATACGTCACTAGATGGGATGCCTTCCGTTGGTTTTTATCCCTAGCATGGCCTCATCATGAAAAAATTCCTAAATATGAGAGTTAAAGAATGTAAGAGTTACCCAGTCGTATTTCACACCTTGGAAGACATCTATTCTCGGGTGGATATGAAAAACCAAGCTTCTAACTTAGTCAGTCCCTGGTGAATCAGCTAACTCCTAGAGGTAGTTTTAACTGCCGGCATTCACTACTGGGCTACCTATGCTACCCGTCAATATGATATCAAGACTGAAGTGCGGAAAGCACCTCTCAATTGACTGACTGCATTCTGGTATTGACTGCGCATTCGGATCAATACTTACTAAACAGGAGGCGTAATTTGGTGGCTTCGACCGAATCTTGTAGATTGCACAAGGTAAAGTGTATTTTGATGTACGACTGTGTATCCAAACCGGGTCTAGGAAAGCCTAATACACCATGCGGTATGGGATACGGTACCGCTTGAAGTACGACGTCAAAATAAACTCCGGTCATTAATTCAGACAGATTCCCAACAAGATTTCATTGTGACACAGATTTCTTTTGATCCGAGGAAAGAAAGTGCTGTTTGCAGTTTGCTTTTACTTTGGAACACTTCATTCACTCGGTTCCCCAAAAAAACTACTCTCAAGCATTATTGAAAAGGTGTTTCAATGTTCTGATCCAATTTTCGAGTGTGAGTATGGCTTTTCCGTATCTTCTGCCTCGTTCTACCAAATCTCGCTTATGCTAGCACAACTTACATGCTATACCTAACGAAATAGAGAGAATAATAAAGCTGAAGCTGAAAATTCGTGGTCATTTCGCAGAAACTCTAAATGTGTTTGTGAAATTCATGGAAACAATCGAAAGCATGGTGAGTTTTATTATTTTCATATTTGAGGCGTTTATTAAAAACCACTATGTTAGTCGACAATAACCGTTGTTTTCTGCAGCCTTGCACATGTCAAAGAGTCTACGTTCAAACCAGTGAGTCAAGAAAATATTATTTCAAACATATGAGATAAATTCATGAAAAACAATGCAGCAAAAAACTTATAACCGTTACGCATAAGAATGGAACTGACCTAATGTGCGACTGGTTTGGTCTAGTTTCACTTCTCATAAAAGTAGCGCCCCATCTTAAGTTCTCGAAGCACGTTCTCTATGGGTTTCGCTTCTTAATCAGAGTATGAGTTAGCATCCACGCTAAAGCACAGTCTTGTTACGGTTCATTTGCTGCAGACGATAAGGCTGCTTTTTTCGTACTGCCTGGAGTTGTTTCAAGTCTGGAAGGTTGTCCCACCCGACTTAGACGAACAACTAGCGCTGAAGTTCTGACGACAGGACAATGCACACATGTTTGGCTTCCGTTTTTCATTTTATTGTGATTTTAGAGGTCGTAACTGTACTCTCAACCAATCACAAGGTCGGGTCTATTTTGAATGAAACAGCAAGAAAGTGATAGTTTACTCCAGTTTGATCCAGACTTTCTGTTCTTTTTGTTGGCTGTAGTCTACGAGTACCCTCCTTCTCAACGCAATAGGAAAGACAGCAGAGTTGCGCTTCAGTAAAATACAACAGGCTTGATTCTACAGCCGGGGATTGAAAAATGCTTGCAAATTACGGAAAGAAGACATTTCCGAACCAACGAGGTGTTGGAGCTAAAAGTGCTCGGATTGCTAAAGAACGATTTTGCAAAATCAGGATCATAGGTTCCGATTATTACACGTTTGGTTTTCTTCATTCCCAGTGCCAGCCTTTTTTCTGGATTCTGTGTAACAGCCAGCATGTAGGTGAATAGAACTTTTGTGTTCGGAGAAACTTTATTTCGGAATGCTGTACTTCGAAATTAAATTAGTCACCGGAGAAACTTTGTTCTGAGTTAAAGTGGAAGCATTCGAAGCGGTTTTCCTCAACTCTTGACTACGCATTCAATAACCAAACATATGATTCGAAAGAACCTAAACATCTGTGCCGGACAAATACCTGCGTGCAAGGGTGATATCTGGTTTGTGATATGATGAGCTTTCAAACCGGGTCACCAATGACCACGAACATTCGTAGGGATAGTCTTTACAAATTCATTCAGGTAAACAACTTTCGGTTCACATGTTTAACTGTCCATTTTAAAATGAGGTTTTCTGTGACTCGGGAGATATCCAATGAGGGCAGTCTCCCAAGTGGATCAAAAATATTCCGGACGTAAATTAGCGATCAAAGAGGCCGAGCTCGAAGGAAGTTGATGTTTCATGAGTTTTGACGGCGTACATCTTGTCGATTCAGGTCTAGATCGCACTTTATGACATCCAAGTGGGCTGTTCTCTAAACTGAAACGACGGTAAGTGAATAAAGTGGGGGGCGAGTTTATGACTGCTTTTACCGCAAAACCTATGGTCACTTGGCCTACTGGCGTAAATAAGCTTGGCGTAACTGCCGCTTACTGCACAATCTGGCGGGCTTACACTAAAATAAGTGTAGATAGTGGTTTGTTTCACAGCTTCAAAATTGCAGCATGTGAAACAAGAAAATTTCAGTTCTTTTCTACCATTTGTTCATGAAGGAGTTGCTTCAGAATCTGTGCTTCAATTCGGTAAACCAATAAGCTAGAGACTTAACTTGCGGCTGCGTTCCTGTGACGGTTCCCAGATGAGGACAGTTAATATTAAGCATCAAGTCAGCGCAATCTGGACAAAAAAGTGTGATTCCTAGAGCGTCAATTACGTCACGACAACGGTGAAGTATTGGCATCCATCAGAAAGAGAAATCCAGCAAGCCTATTTGAGGGGCGCTCATAGTAATCTTTGGTATTTTGTAAGCTCTGTGCGCAACTCCACAGGGTGAGATAGCAGACACACTAAAAGGTTTTAATTGCAGATCAAACAAGCACCTCAAGCACCACCGTGCCACCGAATGAGCTCAAAGTCAGTCTCACGTGAGAACCATCACGGAATTTTTACCCTTTTTCGGTTTTGCAATCACTGATCAAGCCGAGTACAATAACCTTATTTTCCAAAGGTATAGAGCATGACATTAACGCCCCCTTGCCTCGGCTGCTGGTCAAAGACTCACCTAAATTACATACTAAGTGTTAGCAAATGGAATAACCATTGCGAATGCAATTTTGTGTAACTGATCTGTGAAATGGTGCCACAATATAGTTTTTTGCAGACCAGCTTCTGAGGCCACGTTTTCCCTGTTTATTTTATCGAATTTATTGATCCGCTAGAATGAATGCACTTTTAAGCAAATATTGCTACCTGCAGTTGGTATGGGGGAAGCAATTTCTTAATAGTCAAAAGAATGTATGACATTATGAGAATTTTTTTGAATTGGATGAGCAGAACGCAATTTAAATGTCAGTTTTTAATAAAGTTTGGTCTCATGCATTCACATCTGCTGCGTTGGAACCCGTGTGTTTATCTGTCGACTGAATACATGCTTTATGAATAAGAATGATCATATGCACTCACCGGCAGCAACCAAAATGTACGGATCCCGAAGTAAATTCCACAGAGAGCTACCCCGTTCCGCTTCTGGTCGCACAGCCGGTTTCAGAGCAAGCAACTGAAGCACTGAATTGAGAGGGAATTATGAGTATGCAAGCAATAGGTGGCCAAGGGTTTTCATTATGAAATTAAAAGGGTAAAAGAAGGAAAGCCCAGTTCTGTTGGCAATATATGAAGAATAAGATATACGCTGAAACTCAGGTTATCTAAAATTAGTACATTACTCATGCTAATACCAATAATGACCGTTCAGGTGTAACACCCTTTCGGTGCCTAGTTGCCATGACACCCGAAGGAAGTATAACAGCTGAAATACCGCTAGATGGTCCAAGCCTAGAGGGAACAGTCGAGATGCCAATATTGAGTTCAGGCCTTCCGTTCAATAAGTTCACACCTCAATCACCCAGCTATATCCAGTACATTACTCACAAGATTGCCAAAATCTTTAATCAGCTTCGCCCCTACTAAGGCTCATCCAGTAGGCGCAGTCCCCGAATTTTCGTCGGCGCATTCAGTTGAAAAATAATATGATAAACGAGAAATTCAGCTGATATTTAGTTGAGTTTCTCGTCAAAGCCGAATTAGTGTTCAAGCGAGTCTACTATGCGATCCGATCCTCTTAATCAACGCAATAATGAATATTGCTGCTGAAGGGGATTTGGCCGAGTTCGACGATCGTTATTCTAAGAATTTCCTCGTATTTCCGTAAAACCGGAAAAAATGTCAATCCAAGTCAAACTATGGAGGGGAATCGTAGTTGAAAGTTACTCTCACAATAGAGTGCATGTGCGCTCGCTTCTCTCAGATGTCAGCTGTACATTCCAGGGGAGTCGTCTCAGGGAAAAATCAATTTCAACGTTTTAAAACCGACCACAACCTACTGTGCGCCCAAAGCCCAGAGATACCAAAAGTATACTTTATCGTAGAGTATAGAGATAGCCCTTTTTATAAACTTTACAAATGGCACGTACACCGCTGTTGACGGTGTATGACTCTAAGGTCAGGATGAAAATCAGTAAACAACAAATGAGTACATCAAACTCACATCCATCGAAGAGGGCCAAAATAGCAAGCATCAGGAATGGCGCTTCCTTGTTGATAAACTCATAACATATGCCGCCAAATGGTGGACCAACTATGGATTGGAAGTAGTGGAGATATGAAGAAAGCGGAAGTAGACTTGGCACAAACATGAATGCTTAGCAGACTGTAATATGGTCAACTTTGAGTAATTTATTAGTGCAGTAAAACGCACCCGTAAGCAATAATTCAAAATTGAGGTGAGTATTTCGCAGATTTTACGCACGATTATATGCTCCGAGCTAGACAATCTAACGCGAGTCGGATCACTTGCCTGAGAGCTTGCTTTACCGTATTTAACGTTGAACAGTTTCAAGTTGCTCATTGCAGTCTTTATTTCTGAAACAGTTGATAAGAATAATGTGACAGCAAATCCTAGCCTATTCAAAGATGCCTACTTATATCTGAATACGTAGTAAAATTAGGTAGGAGTGAGACAAGACCACCTGATTTGAGCAGATCATCTGGCAAAATTGCGACTCTGTGGATCCCATTTTTTGTTGAGGAGAAAGGGGAGAAAAATCAATGAAACATTCATTTTTAACCTACTCCTGTTCCCAGTTATCTGCGCGACACACGTTTACACTTTAATTACATTTCTTATTCTTGTTGGCATAAAGTTATATCATGCCATAAGCAAGCCCTGTCTTTCGAAACGTTCGTGGACATTAATTATTCCGAAGCTGAAGTAAGTCAGCATCAGCTACCCATGAAAGTGCGAGTAGATGATCAAACAAAAAACACGTTAAATGTAATCGCAGTTTTAAGCTGTCTGCAGAATAGGAACGAGACCAACTTGCATATGGAAGTCTTACAATCACACTACGCTTCAGCGTCCTTTTAGCAATGAAACAATCGGTTGATTTCTCAAATTCCCTATACTTTGGTGAAAACACCTACTGGCCTTCCGCTTTTTCTGCATCGCAAGCAGGAAACATAGGACCAAGAAAGGCACTTCTGTGCATAGTTTGGACGAGCTCAAAAATGCTGATCAACTGACAAACACCTATTTTTTCTGCAACTTTACGGCTGGATTCACCAGTCAAATGTTCCCGGTCCCTGAAGCGAATTAGCTGACAGGCTAAAGTAAATTCATGAATTATTATTTGCAAGGCATTTAGTCTCCTGAACGGCATCACGTTACTGATAAATACCGTTTGAATTTGGGATTATTAAGATTCCCATGCAAAAATTCCGACGCAGTGATCAACGGAGTTGAGACCATCTAACACCCAGAAACAAACTCACTATGTAGGCTTCAAAAAGACAGAGTTGAACAAGTCACAGTTTGTTAGTTATAACTTTTATGTACTTTTGGATCCGAAACCTTCTGAAATACAGTGCTGGTCAAACCTAATGTAATTCATTATCATCCTCATCCTCATCATCACCATCGTCATCATCATCATTATCAGCCTCAGCGTGATATCAGTGTTCAGCACCGATGCTTCACTGTCGTAGTTAGTTGTGGATTTCATGGTTGTACGAGGGTTGGGGTACTACCAGGTCCTCCACACCTAGACAGAAGGACGAGTATGGTCCTCAACCAAAGCATTTGGCTCAAAAGCCTAACCGTAAGGTGTTTGGCGGGAAATGCAAATACACTACCATTTCTACGGAACAAGTCGCCACATGTCATAATCCCCAACCTGGAGGGCCAGGAGAGTGGGTTTGTCAGACCTCTAACCATTGACCAACCTGGTGTGAGAGACTCTGTGAGTGTCGCGGGACACTCTCCAGTATAGCTCAACGGATCTCTGATGTGCGCGAATCGTCACAACACCTTAAGGTCCAGTCTGTTCGTGGCAGCCTAATGTAGTTAGACCTAAGTGCATCAATGCCTGTGTAAAAAGACGTCTTCAGCTCGCTGAAAATGGCTCGTGCCTGTCAGCTACGTCTATTATTCCGTTCACCAGTTCTAAAGTGCGTGCGGATCGAAGGCTGCCCATATTGAGAAACAGAATAACCTGAGAAATTGTGGGTATTTTCGTCCATCGGTGTGAGTACTGATCAGCGTCATGATGATCGGCTTTAACTTCTAAGTAATGCCCCTCAAGATCGTTTCATTGGTCTCGCAATAATGTTAGTGGGCTTCGCTAAACTGCCAGACAGACAAATGATTTTGCAAAGAAACTAGTCGGGTCATCAGGATTCAAGCAATTTTTGCCAAGCTGGTCGCTGCTTCCAAAACGAATCTCACTTGGTGCATTGTCCTTAACATATGACAGGTAGTTTGGCCTTCAACCTCAAGGCTTTGTTTAACATGCTTTTACTTGGAGCACAATGCCGAAAAGAAGGTGGTATAAAATCGGCCAAGAAATTGCAAACATTGCTCAGAAAGAAATATATAAGCTATCCACTTGATCTGAAACTTTTCGTCAATTCCAAAGACACTCGGACGTAGAGACCTCTGAGCAGCTGATATTCTGATGGTGATACACTTGCCAGGTGTTTCTCTCAAACACTGCTCATCAACCAACTAGGGATTCAATCATTCACTTACCTAAAACACCCAGCGCCAATCCACTCAGTGCCCAGCTAAATGCTCTGCCTCTTTCAGTGTCGTCGGTGTAGACGGTTGCCAACATTCCCATACCTGTGGTGACATTTAGAAAGGGGATCTTTGAGAACATAGAACTCTATAGCGTGAATTATCACAATATCTGAAGTCTAATGTCACATTCGGGTGGCCCTGTTAGTTTGCAGACAATCGCAAAATTCCATTGACGTGACATAAGCCTTGAAGACTTATAGGGAGAAATTTCATCACACAAAGTGAAAAAAACTACCAACGAACGAAGCAGTAAAGCAAAACACTCTATGATGGGCATGAAGAGCGTTACTTAAGGACATTGTCAAAATTAGATAATGAAGTATGAACTGTGTAAACCATGCCAGTGAACAGCCACAGTATTTGATTATTTGACTATCTGGCGGCCACGTAGTAGCAGAACCTTCGAAACTCGCTAGCTGCTCGTTGCCTACGGATCGTAACGAAGGGCAAGCAGATAACTTCGCCTGTGTTGCATGGTGGAAACCAAAAGCAAAACGGTTATTGAGGACCAAACCGTTTAATATAAAGAAGATGTAAAAACAAACTGCAGGAAACCTGAAGCACCAAAAACCAGTGGCGGTATTCTAAAAACATACAGTGAGTACTATTTTTTTCGTTATTTTTTACTTTGTGTAGCCAAAATGCAAAACCTGAATTTTGATAATAGGATAATATGCTCTTCATGCTTTTATGGGAAGTTATAGGAAGATCGTGTTACTGATCAGCAGTTGCTGTGGGTACAATACTCACCAACAGATCAGTAGTAACACACCACTGCATGTATTCTCACCAGACACCGACAATGGTTCATACCGATTCGTAACAGAATGAAGTGGTAAGAAGATCCGCCCATAGTGCCTTCACCGTGATGAATCGCAAAACGGTGCTTTTGCTCGAAGATACTTGCATTCAGTGTTGATCACACTGATTTGGCCGGTTGGCGCACACTTATTTCTAAGATGCAAATGAGTCCCTGAGTAATACGGACATGAACTGGAAACAACGTACAAGCGGGGGAAGTATAACGAATTCAACAGAGGCGGAATTCACCGCTATTCAACCGTATACTAATCCAAAGTTGAAAAGGAGATGGATCGGGATAAATGTACTTGCGACATCCGGCAGCCGATACATCAATACTGAGGCAGAAAACGTGGTTGTGGCAAACAACTGACGGACCCGTAGGATACAGGAGTATGGTTACAAAAGTTGTCAGCTCCAGTGCGGCATAGATTCGAATACACGGCTACATTGGCAACAAACTACAGTGATTCTGATGGCTGTGGGGGGCAGTTATCACACTGTCGTGGTCTCTGCATGGGAGCCGAGTTAGTAATTGTTCACATTTAAACGAACACACCGAGCAAAGAAAATGGTGTGCAAAGGAACCGGTCGGCGTAAAAGGTTAGCGAGAGCCATTAGGCTACTAAGT